AAGAGAAAAGCTGCTTGTATGTATTCCATCTCAGGAGGAGGAATGTGCCAGTGAAGCTGAGTTTGAATGCCAGGCAAAAGATGAAGACAATCACATTTTTCAGTTAACAGCAACCTCTTTTCTTTCAGAACTGTTGCGTCATAGTTAGACAAGTCGTGCGCAATGAGCCTAACATTCATTAGTGATCATATCCTCAATCAATTTTTATGATGTGACTTATGAAATGTTTTTTTCTAATTTTATCATTCTGTCTTCACGTTTTTTTTTAGTTGAGTCTTTGCCTGTTAAGAAGAGCTTTTCTTTTATTTTCTCCGTCTTCCCGTATCATGACAAGAGAGTAGAGACAAAAAAATGCTAAAGAAAATTCTGTTGTTTTCAAAAATATGAGAGGTGGGAACTGAGTAAATGGTCTATAAAAGGATCATGAAATTTGTACCCTGGTGCTTTGGGAGTACATGCCTTTCTCGGCTCACTAGTACACTCCTATCCTTGGGAATGTTTTCCCCTTCTTAATACAATGTCTACTTCTATTTCTAACCATGAGTCTCTGGTCCAGTTCTTTGCCTGGGGACACAAGAACCTGAATACTTAAATAGGTGCCTATGGGACTCAAGCCCACATTTACAACAGTATCACTATATCCAATAAGACTTAATACAGCTTATATTAATCCAATAAAGTCAAGTCTGCTCTTCAGTTCCTTGCTTATGACCTTATCTCATCTTTGGGTGTTTGTTTTCATTTTATCAGAAAAAGAAGCTTCAGATCTTTTGTACCTTTCTTGGCCAAGAACACGAATTAACCTTTCCCTAGTGACCCTGCCCAGCTGTCATCAGCTTAGCGTCCTTTTTACAAATCCATTGCCTTTGATTGGTGATCCTGGAGTTGCATGCTGCAGCATGCTTGCTTTGCCAGCTGGCACAATGACACTTTGTCAATAGAGGGCACTGGAGGGACACTGCAGAACTGGCTCGCTCTAGCTGTCCTTGGTGTCCTTATTCTTGCTCTTAAAGCAAGGCTGCCAGCTCTCTGTATGCAGAGCATCCAGGGGTACTCACGAGAGTATCTTTCTCCCTCAGCCGCCCTGCCAGCCTCAGTATGTTGGAGCCCTTCTGCAAGCACACTAGTAGGCAATTTCTACCCACCAGCTGCTGACCAACCCCAACCAAAGGTCACCCAGCCAACTTGTCTGCTCCTCTGCTGGATGGCACCTACCTCCTTTCTACTGAAGCACTTCAGGAGGCAGCCCCTTCTGTGCAAGTTGTCCTTTATGTGGCTACTCCCGCTCCTATTGTTACCATTAAAATTGTCTTTTGTCTTCTATTAACACCTTATTTCTGGTAATGCTCCTCTGCTGGATGGCACCTACCTCCTTTCTACTGAAGCACTTCAGGGGGCAGCCCCTTCTGTGCAAGCTGTCCTTTATATGGCTACTCCTGCCCCTATTGTTACCATTAAAATTGTCTTTTGTCATCTATTAACACCTTATTTCTGGTAATTTTTTTTGTATTAAAATCTCCCTATTCAAATTACTTGTGTGATTTCTGACCCCCTGCATAAATCCTGTCTAACGGAGAGGCAGAATGGTCTTTGAACTCAAAGATGTGGTTTTGGGTTTAAGATGCAGATGTCCTTGGGTTTCAGCTTGTGCTGACAGAAAAGAGGTTGCTTGAGTTCCATGGTCTCTGGGGCTGGCACAACTCACTTGTGACTATTAGGGGCTGATTGCCATGGAGTGGCAGGGAAGCAAGTACACCAGGAACTTATGAGTCGCTTCAGTTAACTACTGGTGTCTGCAGATTGGGGGGGGTATTCTCATAGCCTAAGTGGTGTGGGACACCATCTCTACTGTACAGTAATTTTCCACATGCATTTGTGCTTTTGTCTGACTTTACTGTTTTCTTTCCTGGATGTTTATATGCCAGTACTACAGTGCTTCTTCTGGTGTGTGTGTGTGTGTGTGTGTGTGTGTGTTGTGTGTGTGTGTGTTTGTGTGTGTGTGTGTGTGTATGTATGTATGTGTAGGGGTAAATAGGACAAATCCTTCCTTCCTTATTGCTGTTATTTCTTTTTAGAAATTTTCATTATATTCTTATGTATCAATTTCCATATCAACTTAAAAGTTGGCCTGCATAGTTTTAGGGGAAAGGTTTAGTTTTATTTATTGTTTATTTATTTTAAGGATTTTTTAAAATTTATGTTGCAAACACGTGCTTGCATGTGTTTATTTATACCATGTGTATGCAGCATTTTCAGAGATCCAAAGAGGGCAAGTCACAGGCGGTTGTGAGCTACCTGGTCTAAGTGCTGGGACCCAAACCCAGGTCCCTAGTTTTACTTTTTATGGAAATCATATTACATTTTTATATTACTCAGAGGAAATCAACATATTTATGAGGTTTAAAAGTACTATAAAACTAAATGCTACCTATTGTTCAAATACTTTTCTGGTTTCAAGAAATTTTAATTTTGAAATTAAAATATTATTTTATCATTTTCACTCCCTCTTTCTTCCCTCCAACCCTTCCCTTATACCAATCCCTTGCTCCCCACTTAAGTCCATGGCCTCTAGTCCTTGCATTGCTATTACAGATGAGTGATGGTGGTACATGTGCATGCGTGTGTGCGTGCGTGCGTGTGTTCCTAAATATATAAATATAACCTGCTCAATCCCTATAATATTGCTTGTATGTATATGATTTCAAGGCTGACCACTTAATATTTGATAACTAATTTAGAGGCTCCCTTCTGGGGAAGATGATTTCTCTTGCTTTCTGTCTTCCTTAGTTGCCTGGAGTTCTTTGTTTAGAGTTTAGGCACCTTGAAATGTCCCTGTCCATGTTAGCATGTCTATTAGTGTTGTCTTGTTCAGGTCCTCTTTAGGCAGCCAAGTTGATGAGGCTTCATGGGGGAAGCTCCTCTGACACTTCTAGGATACACATTCTCATAGCAGATGTCCTGGTTCTTACCATCTTTCCACCCTCTTTTCCTTCATGATCCCTGAGCCTTAGGTTTAGGAATTGTGTTATAGATGTATCTATCAGCTAGGGCTGGGTTCCACACAGTCACTTATTTTTTACATTTTGATCAACTGTGGTTTTTCTGAAAGGTCTTCATCTATACTAAGAAGATGTTGCTTTGATGAGAAGTGAAACTTTTAATTGTTGGGGAGTATTATTTTAAAGGGTGTTGCATTTTTTATTGCTGCAGTTTTTTATTTTTGCAATTCCAAGGTTTGTTTGATTAAATAAAATTAACCTGTGAGCAGGAGGATGAGTCAGCAAGTAGCTGACAGGAAGTGGTAAAGAGGAACCGTGCATAGCAAGGGTTTTTCAATGGGGGCAGAGAAGGAGGCTGGAGTTTTTTGGAAGCCACCAGCAAAGAGACAAGGCGAGCTGCTTGCTCTTCAGCCTCTCTGAGCCAGCAGAATTCCATCTCAAATCTTGAATTGTGAGTTCTTTAGATTTAAAAGTTCCCCTTAGTATCTTTGACAGAGTTGGTACCTGAGAGAACAGAATCCCCATTGCTTACGGGGCAGTCACTGTAAATAATAAAAAAAACTTATAACCACAATAATTATCTGTGGTTATTTAGAATATTTAGAATGTAGTTAGGAATTGTGTTGGTTTAGTAAAGTAGCAGTTGTAGGTTCTCTTCATTAGTTTCATTAGCTCTGCCTGGCTAAAATTCGAGTACTAGGCATGATTTCCTTCTTGTTCAATGAATGGGTCCAAGCCATCATAGCTGGGTAGGGCTGTTGGCTACTTCCCTCCCTCGGAAGCTTGCATGGCACCTTCGGGCCATGAGAGCCTTAGAGAGGAGGTCTGCAGGTCAGATCCAGTTCAAACCTCTGAGTCTTGTATCTGAAGTACATATCTTCAACAATAGGGACTTTTAACTTCAACCTCTCGAAGGCAAACAAGGGCAGCAACAGTAGCCTATAATGTTTTGGGGGTCTCTTGGACATCCCTGACCAACCACTCAAAAGAAGGCATTTCATGATTGAGCTTGTGGTTTCTGATACACAGCCTATAGCCCAGATGGGAATCTTTCATTTAAACTCTAAACTCTATTTGTATAAGTATGCATAGACATATATGTATTCCATGTAATTGTAGTTAGGTAGATAATTCCTTATGACCTTTCCAGATCTGATTGTCATTTTACTTCCTTCCTTCTTTTGTATTTGTCTCCTACCCCATAATCAAAGCCCTCCTTCCTCCTTCAGAAAATCACTTGTACCCTGCTGTTCTCATCTCTGTTGCTCCCAACACCCCACTGTACCTTTTTACTGTCCAGTTAACTACAAGCTTTATATACACATATGAAGAATTTGAGCTAGGAACCTTGAGAAGGAATACACAGTATCTGTTTTTCTTGATCTGGATTACCCCCTCCATGCGATCTTTTCTAGTTCCATCCATTTACCTGCAAATTCTATGGCTGGATTTTTCTTTAAAGCCTAATAGTATTCATGTGTCAGTTGAAGGGTGTTTAGGTTGTTTCCATGATTTCTAAATGGGATTTCTAAAGAGGTAAGGCTTGTGTGCTACTTTAGAGCTTCTGGAACTTCACATTCGAATGAAATTGAGAAGAAATTTGTTTTCATTTGAAACACCATTAAATTCTTTAATTATATTGTATATATTTAAATATATATATATATATATATATAACCTATATAAGGGAAGGAAAGCCACAAGATTACTGAACAAATTAATAGATAAAGACAGAAAACATAAATTGACTTTTGACTACATCCGGGCTTTCATTAGCTCTTACATTAGCTAGTGAATGTTATAAATAGGTAAGAAAATGCCATACGAGAGCCTTGTTTTTCCCCCTGCTATCAACTCTCAGGTAGACCTTGTTCTGCTGATCACTAGAACCGTAAGATGGCTTTAACTAAGTCAGGCAAGTTCATTAAAATGGTTACAGTTTAGAAGTCACAAACCAATTTTGAGAAACCAATAAGGAATAATTGACACCACTAGTCTTGCTACATTCAAGATACAAGATTTATTCACACCAACAAAATAATCACAACAAAATATACACTAATTATAAAAACAAAAGATTGTAGTGACATTGTTATAGATTCTCTTTTATCCATGTAAAAGCATTTTGCTTGTGTCTACATACATCTTATTCATAAAGTAATAACAATCATTAAGATGCAGTGGCCATTTGTACTTCTACAGAAAGAACAGAGGCAAAGTACTGAAGCTTTTAGGTTACAAGGGTGTTTTCATGGAGCAACAAACTAAGCTAATAGCCCCAAATATTATCTATTTTCTTCTCCACATACATATACCCACTAAACTAAGAAATGAGCAGTTAATATTCTTGCTTAGCCCTCACTAATCTTCTTCTTCTTCTTTTTTAACTAAAAGCAAAGTAAGGAGCTGTGGTTTTGCCTCTCTTTTAATTGACCTCAGAAGATGAACTCTCTATTTCATGGGAAATACGAATTTTCAGATGGTTAATGTCTTCCTTACTCTTAGAGTCTGGAACTAGCTTGTCTTCATGGCTCTGATGTTCCTGGCTTGCTTTGGAACTTTCCTTGCTATCAATCACATCAGACAGCTCAGTGCTCTCATGACTAGCTTTCTGTTTGTGCTCCTGGGATTGCTCATGGCTGTGGGTTTCCACACTTGGTTCATCCAGCTGACTTGATTCATGGCTGGTCTTCCCAGTGCTGTCCTGATCAGAGGGCATGTTCAGACGATGGACAACCGGAATAACCTTGAGGGTGTCAACCAGCTCCTTGCTCTTCATGTGGGAGCTAAGATCCTCATCTGTAGCATCAGGATCCTGAACCAGAACAAATTGAAGAGTTATACAAACAGCTAGGGATAAGAACATTATAATCCTTTATCTCTACACTTTAGGTCAAACTGTACTAAGTATTTTTAAAACTTGATTGAAGAAGAAAAGGCACTAGCATGTACTTTGTACTTTACCAGTCACCATTGTGTCAGCCATTTCTACTTTAATAGGTATATCCTTTATGTCTGTGATAAAACTTGTAGGGTGGTCTCATAGTCTCTGATTTACATGGAAAGACATTAAAAGTTAAATCAAATAGAAAATAATAAGGCTGAGTCTAATTCAGACCCTTTTACTAAGTTCATTATAATTGTGACTTTTACAGTTCCTCTCACACACTTGGCTTCCAAATACGACCATTATATTTCACAAATAACTTCCTGCAGTAGTTATTGAACTAACATAAATGCCTATTAAATATTGCTTAGATACTGGATTTGGAAGGATAGAATTGTGTGTGATAGAGAAAATTAACAAAGATATTATGTACACTTTAAACAGGACTGCCAACATAGAAAAATAAAAAAGCTCTGTATTCAAAGACCATAAAGCAGACTTCAAATAAATGTGCAGTTCTTGGTGAATAGTGGGTGAATTTGTATACTCTGGTTTCCTAGAAGTGAGCTCAAGCCATAGTCATTCTGTGTGTCTGACAAGGGATTTACCTGGTCATCAGAAATGTGGAACTTCCTAGACTTTGACCGCAGTCCATAAGCCAAACTGTCACCTCGGCCGTTAGGGATCTCTACTGTAGGGACAGCTGGAGTGAAGACTTCTGTTTGTGTAGTAACAGTAATGGACTCATCAGACTCATCAGAATGGTGGGAATCGTCAGGATGGTCATCCTCATCTGATTCATCAGAGTCCACAGAATCCTGGCTGTTTGCATGGTCTCCGTCATCATTGTCATCATCGTCATCATCCATGTGGTCATGGCTTTCATTGGAGTTGCTTGGGAGAGTCTAAATCAAAGATCAAGATGGCTCAGTAAATTAGTGTTTGGGTTTTTTTACACTGTGCTAGTTTTCTTGAATATTTTAGTTTAATTTCAATATCTTTGCATTTACAATAAATTCAATACTTTCCATGGTTTCATTGTGACAAAGTGGGCCTCATACTTGCTTTTTAACACAAGAATAAATGAAATAACATTCTGAAGCACTTTTTTGGCTTCTTAATAAAATGTTATTTTCTTAGATATTTTCAAGTCAAACTTATAAGTATGATGCTCATATTACTAACAAGTTTTCCCTTGTAAATAGTGTACATTGTTCATTTACTGAATTTATTGAAGTAATAAGCATAAATAATGTTAGTTTGATTTTTTGTGTGAAACATAATCCCTCAAGATATCATATTATACCTTAATATAGAGATTAAACTCTATAGTTGCCTCCCTATTGTCAAGGATAGTCAAGAGATGACTCTGTATAGTACACGGGTTTACAAACAATGGCCCAAATCCATATCATGAACTAAGGATTAAAGACTATTAAACTATAAATCTGTGGTTCTTTTTTAAATCTAACTTTCTTTATCAGAGTTTATCTATCTATTTAAATTGAATCCTAAGGGAAAATTTATTTATTTGCTCAGCAAATAGGAAAAAACACTTATCAAATAATCTTTAACATTAGCAACAGAAACATTTTAAAGTAAAAAATCTTGGCTTTGTTAAGCACTGATGGTCTGCTTATCAAATATTAGTTAAAGCATCTTTAAATTACCTTTCATACTTTATAAGAGGCTTAAAGTTTCAAGTAACAGGTATAGGTAGACGATTTCTGAACACTAAACTGAAAAACCTGTGTATTTTGATGATGAATGAATGCATTTCCTTCCTAAGCAAGCTTTTGAATGGCGATTCACTAACAATCTGAAGGGAACAATGAAGTAGCTTCCTCCAGATCTCTAACAGTGGGAGTCAGTGAGTGTGAGAACTTACTTCTTGTTTAAGATCATCTGTTTCTTCAGAGGACACGACATTCTGAAGAAGAAAGGCCACATATTAGCATACACCACACATGCTCAGCTGCTTAGTTCAAAGTTATTCTTTTCAGTCTAAAGCTGGTCACTTTTTTTTTAGCCTGGATGATGATTTACAGTGGGACAAACCACCATAGTGTATGCATTGTTCTTCTAGGCACTCATTCACCTAGAAGCAGGAAAACCCCACTTACTAGCTTGTATGGTTTGATTAGTAGCTGTCTATTATCATTGTTAGGTGTTTTGCTTGTTTGTTTGTTTTCATATTGTTTTATCATTTATTTGTTTTATTTTTGTGGTCGGTATTTTGCTTGCCTTGTATTAGTGTACTGTGTGCATGCTGTACCTCAGGAGATCAGAAGATAGCAGCAGATTCCCTGGAACTAGAGTTACAGAAGGTTGAAAGCTGACATCTGGACACTAAGAACTGAACCAGGGTCCTCTGCAAGAGCAGCCAGTGCCCTTAATAGCTGTCCCATCCCTCCAGCTCTGTTTCAGTTTTGAGAAATTGAAAAACAATACCTGTGGGGCTAGGAGATTTTGCTTCTGAGATGGGTCGGTTTCCAGCCATGTGGCTACAGCATCTGTATGTTTGCTGTAATGCTATTAAAAAAAAGTGTGTGTTTGTCATTATTAAAAAATAAACAAAGGGATCTGCATGCCACAAGCTTATAAAATGACTATAGTTTCTACTCCTGAAGGAAAAACATAATATATACTCATACTTCCATGCAAAACTTCAGAGATTATAAAAATATAACTTATTTTTTTTATTGATTCATTTAATGGTACTCTAAATAGCATTTACTATGGGACTTGGCTGTTTTCAAAGTGATTTATAAATATAGCTTCAGTCCTTTCAACTCCTTATGCGGTAGACATCAATATTTACCTGTTAATACCAAAGAAGAAACTCAGCCACATTGTGGCTAGGCAGTAAGAAGTGGCAGAGCCAGCATTCAAACCCAAGCACACTTCCTAGTCTACCTTTGCTGGATGAAGTTTTCTCCCAGGTAAACACCCTTAATTACTATTGATCCCATTGTTTTCTCTCCATAGGACAAAGAGGAATTCTCCAAGGCAGTACTTCATATGCTGGTGTCCTTAGCTATAGGTAGCTATTTAAATGTAAGTTTAGATTAAATTAAATGTAGTTAATTTCAATATGAATTAAGATAAAAAACAAAGAACTGAATCTCTCCATTGAACTAGCTACTCAAGTCTAGTGGTTAGCAGATAGCCATTGCATAAAAATTCTATTGTACCAAGCTGCCAATGGTGGAAACAGAATAGGCTGTCCCTCAGGGAAGACCATCCATTTGGAAAGTGATTATGCTACTTCAGGAAGAGCATATTGTCCTGCATAAGTGTCCCATGGTCAACTGTGTTGGCCACACTCCATCACTGCATGGTGATTGTGTTACTGAGAACAAGAAACCTGAGATTCTACTCATCACTTGCACAACCACCTGAGGTGGCAGTGTGTGTACAATCACCTGAGGTGAGCATGTCTGATTTTGTCACAGACAGCTCTACACAGGACTGCTTCTGTTGGGCAGTTAGAGAGCCTTGCTGGAGGAAAGGGCTGTTGCTGTACCCAGAGGCAAAGGCTGACCACGTGTGCTCACATATGACATTTGTCACACAACATAAGTTACATTTATAGTTTAAAGTAAGTGATATGAAGAATTTATGTGTAAGCAAAGTAAATAGGCTCAAACAATGTTCAATCATCTTAACATAAATAGCTAGTGTTAATCTTCAAGGGTATATCCTTAAAGACTTCCATATTTTCTTCTGCTTCTATGTTTCTTAGATTCTAGAAAACTGACTTTTGAGCTTTTCAACTACATCTTAAATACCATTTGATGGCCTATACTGTTGTGTCTTTAAAAAATGCATCCCTGTATTTTAAAATATTTATCTTATTCTATTTTTGAAAGTACCAATTATTGCCTCTCTCTTGCATAGGAATGCTAATTTTCCTGTTTTGTTAAATTGTGATTCAACACCTGTGTTCTCAAGTCTGTTGGAAAACAGACAGGCCTACTCACCCCATCCTAGACACCCCACATTTTAGCAACTCCCTGACTGTCTTCATGAAGCTTCAGTGACTCCCAAGCAACTCTACACTGGCCTTTCTTAGTTCATCTGGAACTGAACTCCGTGTGCCTTTTTGTCCAGACTCCATGGGACAAGGCCCATCTGTGTTAGTCTGGCATGTGTTCACCTACTGTGGAGGGGCAGGTAACCAGTGCTGCTGGTCAAATAACTGTAATAAATACAGATGTTGGTTTGGTTTTCATTTTTGTTTAGGAAAATATAGTCTAAAGTCTGCTGACAAGCACAATAGATTCAAACAGCTCGAACAGACTTTCTCTTTATGGTGGCTTCTTAGCAAGAATCTTGGGCTACCGGTATTGTAAATATTGTGGTCATAGGAATAGCTCTGACCAACATCTGGGTGGAGTTCTAAACTCAGCCTCTGTGATTTTCTGTTTCTAGGAAAGTATGCTGGCTCAAGGACAGAAACAGTGACTCAAGATTCTAGGACCTGTTTTATATAAGTAGCAATAGCCTGGTACAGGCTTTTACCATATTAAAAATCTAATTGTAAGAGAATCTGTTTATTTAAAACAATGCCCTGTTGAGTACTGCCTCTGTCTATAACAGTTATTCAGTAAGTACTATGAAATGAACAGGTCTGATTATGCAGATAAATAAAATGGCAGCAAGTAAAACACTGTCCCAGGCAATCTTTGCCAGGCTGGTGTACATTCTTTAGTTAAATGATCAACCCAAAGGGGCTTACCAGCTTCTGCTCGGAGCTGCCAGAATCAGCCACTTTCACCTTTAACACAGAAGAGTGAAGGGAAAAAAAGGCATGAGAGTGTGCCAAAGCTCATGTACTTTCAAGAATTTTCTCTGAGATTTGGTTGTACTCACCGGGAGAGAGGAGGCAATGCCAAAGAGGCAAAAGCAAATCACTGCAAATCTCATGGCTGTAGTTGCTCCTGCAATATATTTGTGAAGAATACTTGGTATCTTGACAGGTTCATACATATCTCGTTGCCCTACAACATTATAAATTATGGAATCTTTTCTACATCTCAGAGAAAGCATAGGCTTTTGAGTAAGCATTTGTGGGCCTTGGCCTTCTCTGGATCTCTCACCCGTAGCAAGGCAGCAAGGGATGAGGGTGGAGAGAGGCATTTCACGGCTTCTATTTATCCAGTCTTTACATCTGGAGTCTAAGGGTTTATGCTACCACTATCTGATGTCTCCAGCTCTCCACAACTAAGATCAGTTTCACAGTAATTTGGGAATTAAAATGGTGAACTACTGTGGGAGTACTTTTTCCAAGGAAGAAAACAACAACAACAACAACAACAAAAATAGAATGAAGAAAATAAAGTTGCTTTCCATTTTTCCAATTTAAATCTCAAATGTGATTTTTCTAACTTAAATTATTAAGAAAGTGATATAAAACTAAAATAAAGATGTCTTTGAAACTAAGTAAGATATTCCATTTGCAGTGAAGAACATTGAGAGCAGCCAACAGCTTTTCTATGCATGGTAACGAGTCCACATATTATCACACAAGGATCTTAGTGAAAAATTTAAAAGCCAAGTGCAGAAGCAAGACATTGAGAAAGGCTTCCCCTGCACACTCCCAGATGAGTTAATTTATTAAAAGTAACAATATAAATGGCTTATATTAATATATAATATCCTTCTTTAATTGCCTGCAGTCATCCAGCAACTTTAAAATGATATAGATATTTGTTCCAAAGAGACATAGAACTTGTTATCTGTTTATTTGTGTGTATGTGTGTGTGTGTGTGTGTGTGTGTGTGTGTGTGTGTGTGTGTGTGTGATTGGTAGTAGTTTTCTCTGTCCTTTAGAGAACCAACTCAGTTTATTTTTAACTTCTATATTCAACCGACTTTGAAGACACCTGGAAGCCTGCAATGTATCCAACCTGCTTATCCAAAAAGAATAGAACCATGCGATCCTGGCTGACAAGTGCTACAGTTAAAAGTTCAGTCTTTGCACTCACCCACAGGATCCAGCCAGGAGAATGTGCAGCCTCACCGGCCAGCTATGACCTTACCTTGGCTGGCTTCCTCGGAGAATGCCAGAGAATGCTGCAGGAGACTGCAAAGCCGAGATGCTGATGCTTAGCTCCTCCTTGTCCTGCTGCTGACAGCTTGGATCTCCCAGAATTTAAATGCTGCTGGGACAGTCTCCACCAACCCAGGAGGCGGAGTGATGTGTCATGAGGTTTTTGCCACTGCCCAACCCACCTGCTCCCACACTTCCCCCTCTGGTTTTGTGGTTGAAAAAAAAAAAAAAGGAAGAAAAGGAAACACACAAAACATTACTTATGTACAATATCATTAACTACTCTTTTCATTTATGGGATACATTTAGAATCCTGGAAGAGCACAAAGGTGCATGAGGACGGGAACAGCAGACTGTTCTCACAGAGTTCATTTACAGTTGCTGAATTAGTGGGAAAAAATTAATGGGAATGGAAGGAGCTGGGATGATGTCTCTTTAGACCTAAGTGACAGGTGAAGGCCATGTGGATACACCATTTGTCCCTGACAGACCTACTGAAGACTAGAAATCTGGTGTTTCTGAAGACAGGATTTTGAGACCCTGCCCCCTTTGCCTTTGTATTTGATAGCTCAGGTTGTCTGGGGTACAGTGGCTCAAACTTGTAATTCCAGCACTCAGGTGGCATCATGGGTTCAAGGCTAGCCTAGGCTATACATGGTCTTCCAGATCAGCTTGGGCTACAGAGTGAGACATATATATATATATGCCAGCCTAGAGTGAGTTTCAGAACAGCCTCCAAAGTCACAGAGAAACCCTATCTCAAAAAAACCAAAAAAAAAGTGTTTGTCAAACAACAACAAAGATAAAATGAAAACAAAACAATACACACAGCTCAGTTTTGACACTTCAAATATGCAGAAGCATGCCATTCAGACATACCACATAGTGGCCCTGAAATGCCACTCGTGCCCGTGAAGTCATGCCTCCAATGACCTTTCAGAGCTGTGTTAAAGAGAAGAAGGTAGGTCACTCTAGATAGAGGCTGCCGAAGCAAGTGACAGTCACATGCCTGCTGGGCTATGAGGCTGCAGAAGCCAGACTTGGGCTTTTAGTCCTTCTGTCACCAATGCCCTGTGTGAGCTTGGGCAAGTCACTTAGCCTTTCTACAGGACAATGGATTTATATAGGTACAGTTACCAGTTCTTGAGGTGTCACAACCCCTATCCCCATTTTAAAGAATGTGTATATTAACTATTACTGAAATCTTCATCAGAGGCTAGTAGCCATGACTTGTAATGTCTCTAAATTGGGATGAGGGTGGGTATAAGGGATCTTTAAGCTGTTTCTAAAGATAGAACTTATATTTCTGAATTGTCTGTTTTAAGTTTTACTTCCCAACACATATAAAGTTGGCTACTTAATAAGAAAAAGCAAATTTTATTTTCTGTATTAACAAGACCTTACTGAGTGGCTAAAAGTAGATAAAATTATAGATGAAGCAGAACTGCTTTAAATATTTAATGTTCTGCAATTCCTTTCTCCTCTTACTTGAAACAGAGAACATGCTACTTATTATATTACATCTCCATTGCAAGAGGCATGCAGTAACTGATATTAAAAGGTAGGTCAATTAAAAGGATCTCCATTGCAAGAGGCATGCAGTAACTGATATTAAAAGGTAGGTCAATGGATACATGGGGAAGGGCCTAGGCCTAGGCCTAGGCCCTGAGCTGGCCCAGGATGATGTGGTAGACTTTGGGGAGCCCCTTTTGAGGGCCTTACCCTGCCTGGGGAGTGGAGGGGGGATGGCTAGGGGCAGGGGGGATGTTGGGGGGGGGGGGGGGGGGGGGGGAGGGATTGACATCTGAAGCAAGCTTGTTCCTAATTTGAACTAATAAAATAAAAAAAATAATAAAAATGTAGGTCAAACCATTATTGTATTAGATGCCAGTCCTATTTGTCAAATATTGCTTTTAATATGAATTTAGTTTATGCAATCTCCAACAGAGCTAGAATAAGTGCAGAGCTGTTCTGAGCATTTGGGCTATCTCTTGATGGATGTATTCTAAATGAATTGCGATTGTTAATTTGAAGGTCATTAGCAAATGCTTTATTAAGGTGGTACCTATGACTATAAAATATAAATCACACAGGTTATACAGTTGTAAAACCAGGCTTCTTATTTCTGCTTTTAAAAACTTTTTTCCCCTTTAAACACAACATACTTATGAGTCTGTCATGTTTTCAGTGTAGTGGAGGGAAATTCCACAAATCCTAAAAGCAACAATATGTCCACAGAGGTCACTGCAGTGCCCACAGGAATGATTCAACACAAATTAGAGAGGTATAGGAATAGATTTTGCTGGAGCTGCGCCACCTCCAGTGAAACCACATGACCCTCCCAGGACTCTTCCCTTTGTAACTCTCAAGTGCCACACGAGGGCAGCATTTCTGGAAAGGTGACATCCTGCAAAGGCCTCAGTGATTTTCTCAATGCAGCAGGGAGAACATCCTCAGAGGCCCAATGTATACAGGCAGCTTCCCAGAAGGCAGAGTAAGAAAGTATATGTCAGCAGTGACCCAGTTCACAACCAGGGCCAGGGACTCTGAGAACTAAGCACTCCTGTTCTGCACTGTTGATTCCTTCAGCAGTCCTAGGTTGACACAATCCTCTGCTTCCCTCTTCCTACACTCATGCCAGCTTTGTGTATTCATGGTTCAAGAATGTCTGTGCCACTGGCATGGGGAGATGAGGAGGTTTGCACTGGGAGCAATTCAGCAAAGCAGGGAAGGACAAGGAGCCCTTCTGACTCGAGGAGGGGCGTGCTCCTGCTTTCTGAACTCAGAAAGCTGCTGACATTTTTCCTGAGTGGGGTTTTCCCATTGTTAGAATTCACACATTAAACAATAATCCGGGAACGTTATCTCTCGTATACCCACATCTCATTCTCATATAACTTTGGTCCGTAGGACCAAGAGTTTAAAATACCCAAATTCCTTGTAAATCTTGTCAATGGAAATATCGTAGCTTAGTTGCAAAGAGTGATTTGTGATCTTAAAATGTAAACACCATAAGAAGTTAAACAGAAGCATATAAAGAATATTGTTATTCCCTTGTTTACATGAGAATTTCCATATCACTGGAAAAGTTAGGTGCTTAAATGTCACCTAGACTGAAGGGAAATTTTTATTATATTGACACCCATCTTCAATGAAAGTTGCTAATTAGATCCTACCTGGTATATAGCTTTCTCAGCTCTACAGATGTTCATTTTGCCCCTAAATAGAGATTCCATTGTTTTAGAATTGTCTTGACAGCATGAGTGATCTGTCGGGATCCCAGTCTGTGGGAAGGGGACATTATTAATCAGAGGGTTTAGGCATGAAATTAGGATGTTTTACAAATACCATTAAGAAATACTGTAAATCCTTTCATCCCATTGTTTAATAACATAGACAACAAAATTTACCTCCTGAAAAAGTGGTCTTCTATGGGTAAGCATTAGTTTTGAATTAAGACAAATAAAAAGGAGTTTCACCTTAAAGCTCACGAAATGTTACAGAGTTTAAAAATATACCCACTGAACTGATTGCTTTAATTTATATTTTTGTGGTTAGAACACAAATAGGTTTCATTGTGAGATATTCATGCACAAATACCATTTAATTGTGTTCTTATTCTTTCCTCCATTTTCCTTTCTCATTGTCTTGGCTCCTCTTGTTGGTCATCAAAATAGTTCTTCCTTTTGGTTTCATAATAAGTAGCATAAATTCCATTACCCTCCCTTCATCTTATCTCACTGCTTCCTTTAGACTTCTTCCTCTTCTTTCATGGTTCCCTTTCTACTTTCATATCCTCCCAAACACACACTCATACCCTCAAACACACACACATACCCTCAAATACACACACATACCCTCAAATACACACACATACCCTCAAACACACACTCATACCCTCAAACACACTCACACAGTGAAATGCATACTCATGCAAACACTTAAACACATTCACACAAACACACTCACACACACACTCACACACATACACACACACACACATACACAAGCACACACTTGAACACACATTTACGTATACACACACTCACATATACACACATTGAACACACACACACTCACACACATACATACAAATTTAAATCTATATTTGAGTATGTTTTTTCTTTTAACATAAATGATCTCTACTCCCATCTATTTTTCTATGATCATCATAATTTCATTCTTTACAAGTGAGCAAGATCCAATTGTGTATGTATACCACATTTTATTTTTCCATTCATCCATTGATAGAAATATAGGTTGGCTCTGTCTTCTGGCCTTTGTGAACAGTGCAGCAATATACTTGGATATGTAAATGTCTCTGTGGTATATTAATTTAGAATCCTTATTGTATATGGCTCACATATCTATCAAAATCCACATATTGTTGTGCCCAAATTCTGAAACCCCCAAATCACCACGAGACCCATTTAATGCAAAAGCAAAGAGTCTTTTATTGTAGCTGTTTAACGAGCTAACCCCATTAGCTCAGGTCTTTCATCCATTCACCATGGCGATGGCTGGAGAAAGACTCAGGGGAACCACAAGGCAGGGAATATATTGGATAGCGTAAGGGTATATCCAGGGGTACGCAACAGTATCAAGATTGGTGTGCTTCCGGGCTTGGACCACCTATCTTGTGTTGATTGGTCAACTGGTTGTTATGGCCCATAGGCCCTCCCAGGGTGGTTGCTATGCTCTGCACGTCACTGTTGTGCACTTGTACACAAAGCACACCAAGACCCATAAAGCACAGCCCCTCCAGCTAACTTCTCATTGGTTCCTTGCCATGAGGAGAGTATCTGATCTCCAAGTGACCAGGGCAGGCCCAGCAAGGTCAGACATGTGCTGCAGAAGCCTACATGTCTTTTCTGCAGCCTGTCATGGCTTCTGAAGCAGGGGGGCTGGTCCCTTCAATATGAGTCTGATTTATTTTGATTAAGACAATTAAGACAAGTCGTATCCACTTTGCAGCAAATTATGTAATTCCTTCTTTATAGGTAAAATACCATTCAATACACATACCACACTTTCTTTAGCCATCCAGCTGTTGACAGTTATCCAGGCTAAGTCCATACCTTCATCATTCTGAATAGTGCTGCAATAAATACAGGTTGTAGGCACCCCTGTGTTGTGTTGAGCACA